GGAAGCATTCTTACTTTACAGCATTTTTTCACACCTGCCTAAAACTTTTGCACAGTACCGTACTTCAAAAGACCTTGATAAGGTTAGAAGAGGCATGTGTAAAAAATCTTGGAGGAGTATTTGCAAATTGAATATGAATCAGGATTTTAAGCTGCATTAACCAAAATATAACTTCAAATCATGGGAAGTAATCATTCTGCTTTTATAAACTCCTCTCAAGCATCGTGTCTAGTTCTGAGCACCAAATGACATTTCAGACAAAATAAGTGCAAAGAAGGGCAACAAGATTAACCAGGAAGTCCTATGAAGAAAGACTAATGGAAAATAATACACTATTTTGCATCTTTTAAAGACCTGCTCTTGGCTGTCTGGACTACAAATAATAGAAAATGGATTTCAGTTACAGAAAGCAATCTGGTTGAATGTTGGCTTTCAGCAGTGGAATCAACTACCAGGGCTTTACAGTGATTGCCAAGTAAGCACACAGGCAGCTGTATTTTGCACCAGTTGAAATTTCTGGGTGGTCTTCAAGGGCAACTCCATGTTGAGCAGATTGCAGTAATCCAGGCATGAGATGACAAAGATGTGACTGTTTTCAGAACATCATGTTCTAGTAAGGCCACAGCCAAAGCTGGACAAAGTGCTTTCTGGCCATAGACCTAACCTGCTCCTCCAGTAGGAGCTACAAGTCCAGGAGAACCCTCCAGATTTTAAGCCTGCTCTTTCAGGGGGAGTATATTCCCATTAAGATCTTGAAGACCTGGCTTCTCCTCCAGGAGTTGTGGCCAGATGTTAGTGGAGCCTTGCACATGTGTGTTTATGCAGTTACAGAATTGTTTAAACGGGCTTGACTAGTTTAAAAAAAAATGGTTTTGCTTATTGTGTTTTATGTTTTATGTTTTAGCTTGCCACCCAGAATTTTATTGGTTAAGATGCATGGCCATATAATTTTGTTTAATAACAATTAAAATAAAATCAAGAACTAAGGTTGGCATGCCCCCAGAATCAGTTGACTTCTAAACTGATTCTGGGGGCAGAGCCACTCTGTCTTGTCTGGGTTGAATCTGAGCCTGTTTCTCCCCATCCATGCCCTGTGAGCTTCCAGGCACTGGGTCAGGATTTCCATTATATCTTCCATTCAGAGCAGGGCAGAGTTATATAGCTTGGTATCACTGGCATATTTATGGTCTCACATTCTATGCTAGCAGATGACCTCTCCCAGTGGTTTCATATAGCTATTAAACAGGATAAGGGAAAGAACTGGACCCTTGGGCACTCCATATTGGGTGCCTGTGGACTCAGTCTCTCCCCCGCACATGCATAACCACTCATTAAACCCACCCACTCAGGAAGAAGCAGAACCACCACAAAATATTGCTTCCCATCCCTAGCTGTCATAAGTGAAGGATACTGCACTCAAAATATCAAAAGTACCTGAGAGATCTAGATGGGAGGTATTCCCACCATTCATGCCTCACTACCAGCCATCTATGAGAATGACCAGTGTGGTTTCCATTATACTGTAGCTTGAATCCTGACTGCCAAGATTCTAGATAATCTATTTCTTCTGGAGCCCTCTGCAGTTGTCACCTCACCACTTTCTCCACAACCTTTCCCTCCAAAAGGCTGAACTTCAGGATACTATCAGGAAGTTCTATTAAGTAACCCAAAGGCAAGCAGGGAAGACTGAATTTTTGCCTTTAAAATCTAAGGATACCTTCTAACAATAGCATCTAACCTAGTTACTCTTCCCATTGACCCTCCATATGGAAAAACCAAAAGTATATGGTTTTCTTGGGGAAAGGGGTCAAATGACTGTATTTTGGCTTGTTCAACAAGGCCACCCAAAAAAATGTAGTCACACATTTAGAGGACACACTGACTTATCTTACCGGATGACTATACTAATTGAGATACCACTTGATTAAATGTTTACATAGCATTTTTCCTGTTATCATCCCAGGTTTCTGCACAGGCATAAAAATAATTAAGGTAATTGTTGAGGATGCAATGATCTTCCATGTAAGTCAGCAGTAACCAGTGCTTAGCTGTGTTATGAGGATACATGAAAAACTTGGTGGAAGGAAAAAGGAAGAGATCTCAGTAGCAAAATGAAAAGCGTTAAGAGCCCCAGTGAGTCATGTGGCACCAAAGTGTTTGAAAATTGCTATGGTTTAGCGATAGCATCATACTAGATTTCACTGCTTTGCTCATATGCAGAGTAATTTCCCATTTTGGTGGCCTAAGCATATTACCTGTTCGCTGAGCTGTATGACTTGTGTCTCCAAATCTTTATCAGACTTAGACACCGAACTGCTTGGTGGTGTTTTTTTTGCTGATGATGGGCGAGATGATGTGGAGCCAGGTTTTGATGCAGGACTGGATCTGGCAGCACCTGAAAAAAAAAAATTAGAACTGTTTTTAAAATATTAGTTAGCCGCAAGATTCTTCTCATTTAAGAAACCAACAGCTGGAACTAGAGAGAGATTGGGGGGGGGGGGAGCATTCAACTAAAGTGTGTGGAGGATAAAACCTATTCTTTATGTTCATGGTGGTGCATGGTCCTAGGAGAAAGAACTGCAGATGTAGACTCTATCAGGCATACAAGCAAGGACAGAAAGTTAAGCCAGAGAAAACACTGAGGCTTCAATCTTCTTCTTCTGGAGTAAAGCAAGAGTCTGACAGAGCTCCAAGCTATAAGTGAATTTACTTCATTTCATCCCCATCTTTCCTCTGCTTCCCCATCACAAATAACTTACGTTGCTATTTCTTGCCCTTCCCTGCCCTCTACTACCACTGATAGTAGTACAATAACTCAGAGCCCTCTTATATTTAAAAATGCTTTACAGGTAGTCCTCACTTAAAAACCATTCATTCTGCGATCATTCAAAGTTATAGCTGTTGCAGCACCCCCATGGTCACATGATCAAAATATGGGCACTTGGCAGCTCACCTGCACTTAGAACTGCAGGGGATGCTTCAAGTCTCCCACCTGCCGATCTCCCCCATCTCTGCCCTTTTGGACACCCTGCACTCTGCCCTTTACCCATATTGCCCCCTGCTGCCCACAGCTGATCTTCATAGTCTTCTTCCCACTGCTGCTGGACCGGGATCCAGGTGCTGGGTGAGGGCGCAGCCCTGGGATGTGCATGACAGGGCAGTGGAGCCTTGTCTACTGTGCTGGGCCTGGCCAGCGAGAGGGCAGTGGGATGGAGCTGGCAGAGGAGGCATGATGGCGGTCTGGGTGGAGGAGCCCCGTCTTCTGCTGCTTGCACAAGGAGTGATAGCTGAGAGACCATGGAGAGCACAGTGGGACAGGACAGCCTCGCATGGCATGCTCTGTTGCCAGGCAAGGCAGGAGAGGTGGTGGCGGCTTCCCAAGCAAAGATGACAGCTGTGCAGGAGGCGCTGTTCAGAGTGGCAGCAGAACTCGAGGAAGCAGAAGGATGAGGGTTTCCTGGAGGCACAGCACATGCTCTGCTGCTTGCACTGGAAGCCCTTCTGGAGAACTAGCCTGCGGGCTTCAGTGAGGGGTGAAGGCAAGACCAGTGCCAACATAGCCTACCTGCAGGCCCTCTGCTCGCTCTTGACTCGGCCTTCCTCCTCCTGGAAGCTGCTGGCCCTTCGCAAGGCTTTGCAGGAGGAAGGCTGGGCTGAGAGCAAGCAGAAGGCATGCAGGTAGGTTCTGTTGGCACTGGGCTCACCTCCGTCCCTCACTGAAGCCTGCAGTCTGGTTCTCCAGGAGCGCTTCCAACACACGCTGCAGAGAGAACCAGTCTGCAGGCCTCAGCACATTAGAAGCTGACTTTTTGTGAGGTTTTAAAGGGGAAGGAGGCAGCAAGCTGCATCCAGTGTGTGGAGCCTGGCAGGGAGACCTTGCATTCAAAGACCTCCCCCACCCCTGAGATGGTGCAGAGCACAGCAGGCAAGACACAGCAAGGACCCAGTCCACAGTGCTCCGAGACATGCCAGGGATGCACAAAGCAGGGAGCTGCCAGCCAGCTGTGGCTGCTCCAGGTCACAATCCACAGCCTGCACCCACCTTGCTTTCGCTCACCTCCCAAGAAGAGCCAACCCCTCCCCCCGCAGAATGAGCGGCTGCTTTGCCAGACCATGGCCAGCAGCTGGGAGGAGGCAGCAAGCCATGTTGGTGCAGAGCCCTAGCAGGCAGACTGGGCATGCATGTGGGAATGTACAGCAGGCTGAGAGTGCTGAAGTGGGGCAAGTCCACCAGGAGCCCAGCGGCCGGGGTGGCGGCAGTGGTGGGGAGCCCAGTGTCAACAGAACCCTTGCACCGAGGAGGAGGAGGAAGTTGGTGAAGATCAGCTGGGGACAGCAGGGATAGCTGGCAGAGTGCAGGGTGGTCAAAAGGGCAGAGATGGGGGAGAGATAGACAGATGTGGGGAGTTGAAGCAGAGCCGAGCCTGGCAGGGCAAGAGAAGTGTGAGATCCTCGCCTAACGATGGCATGGTCCTGCCTAACAACTGCAACTGGGACTACTGGAATTGCTGTCACTAAGCCATATAGTTATGTGATGTTTCATCTAACAACCACTTTGCTTAGCAATGAAAATTCCGGTCCCAATTAGGGTTGTTAAGGGAGGACTACCTGTATTATTTTGGCTTATATAGCCTTTGCTTGTGTCTTCTCCCAGAGAACTAGAATAACCTCTTTTCATCATGAGTTACTGAAATGTGGGTATCATTTGTTCAGGGACTTAAAAAAAAGTTGTTCAGAAAGAGTTTGGAATCCAGCAGAGACCTCAAAAGTTGTCCATCTGTACTAACCTGCCAAGCTCCTGTTGCTATGCTCTGACTACTCACAAGACCTCAGCTCTAAGCAAGCCTGCAATGTAATGGAGTTTTATTATGGGAAATTTTCTTTATCTTCGCTAAAAACTGTAAGTGGAATCCTATATATAAAACAATCCTCTTCTTGACTTTCACTCAACTTGAGCATCTGGTCTCCCAAAAATGGCACTCCAGAAGGTCAAAAGTTGATGAGCTATATGACAGAGGATTACGAGGCTAATAAATGGATCCAAAACAGTTCATAAATGATATGCTGTTCACACCTTTTAAGGCTATGTGCAAGTGTTCTCAAATTCAAAATGCTTCAGTTGCAAAATGCTCTATTGAAGCTTGACTGAAACAGCCCATGTTATGCTCAAAATAGGACATTCAAATTCAAGACAGGGCACTTTGAATTTGAAACAGCTCAAATTATAAATGTCTTCCATACTACCAGTGACTTCATTATCATCTGATTCAAAATTATCTAGAACAGCTTCCCCCATTTTCTACCCTCAAAATATGTTTTTCAATCATCAAGCTACCATAATCAGCTGATAATAAAGTGATATTGGATAGGAATTAAACGCTATTGAACACATCTAAGAATGAAAATAACTCTAAAGATTTCATCACATATATAAAGACATTCTATTAAGCAATACATTTGCTGAAAACACTGCAGTACTCAAAACGCTGCACTGTTTTGAACTGATTCTTTACTGTTTTTCTGTAGCTTTTCCTGTTATTCTAACAATGTAAATAAATGTCAATCAAATAACCACTAAAGAGAATCCCTGCATCACAAGTAGTATATATATGTGCATGTACATGTATCTGTGTGTATGTTTACTTTGTTCTATTGGGCCAGCACCTAGGACTGGAAACATTCCAGTCACCATAAAACTAGATTACACCAGCAGGTTCCTGTAAGAGTGAACCTATAAAGTAAAGAGGAGATGCCATTCATCCCATTTCTTAATATGCCTATTAGCAAGAGCAGTGGCTAGGAATGTACTCTTCTTTTAAGGAGGAAGGACTTCAGGAGATTTATTACCAATGATTTAGTACTCTAATGAAACCCACCCCCAGTTTGCAAAAGGCCAAAAGATTGACAACAGATTATTAGATTTGGATATCTTTTTCTTACATTCTGCTCTTTTGTGAAATAAACATGCAGATAATTCAGTAGAAAATATAACAGATAAAATACCATAACAGTCCTGTCCTCCTCATTTCAGTATGTGGATACAAGCTAGTGGAAAGCATAGCATTCCTAAAACATCACAGTCTACAGCTGCTACATCAGCGACTGAACATGTATACGGACCATGATTACATATGGAAGTGCTTATGTTTACATGTGTATGCTGAAGAAAGATGGAAAGCATGCTTTGGTGAGAGAAAAACCTAAAATGACTTATCTTAAAATAGAACATCATTGGGATGAATTTACTCTTCTTGCCAAAGAGAGAATTTCATGTAGATTCCATATGGGCACTAGAGTATGACATTTTATATATTCCTACAGGACATCACAGCACCCATAAATCACAGTACATTGGAAGATGTGGTGTGGAAAGGGAGCCATTATCCTTTAAAATTAACTCCTTAATGAAGTTATTGTATTTATAACATATTATTCAACAATTACAACTGTAAATAATAAAAATTTACAATCATGGATAAATACCTGCTGTAGGAGAGTTTGCATGATGAGACTTTTTTGGCAGATTAAAGATCTGTTCCCCAGGATCAGGTGGTGGAATTGCATCTTGGCCTTGCCGAGCCTCTACTGGATCATATTCTTTCCCATCATAGTTAGCATCAAAAAATTTCTTAAACCACTGTATGAAATCAAGGTTGTCTTGGAAACGTCCCTTTACTAATTTCTCCACTGGAATAACCTGTATATGACAAAGCAAGGCAGATCAGTGATTTAAAATGCTAATAGAAGAATTTCAATACAGCATAACAATGTTTCCAAATACCAAATAGCAATATAATACTAAATAGTAAATGTAATAATAAATATTACTACGCACAATTTCTCATTGTGTTTCTCCCCACAAAGTTGTTGCCCTTGTTGATTCATATCATCTACATCATTTCTATAATTATCAACAAGACATTTAATATATTCTATCCTTTCAGTGCTCTTTAAAAGCATAAATTCCATTTTGAACTTATCTATTTATAGGTCTACCAAGGCAATAAAATATTACATTTATATTAGCCATTATAAAAGGAGCCATCAATTCTAGAAAACTATCCACCAATTTCAAACTTTCCTTTTCTGTTAAAAAGAGGGTTCAATAGTGTTACAGACAGCTCTGGATTATCTGAAACCTTTTTAGTCAGGATTCATGCCTGGGTATGGAACCACACGTTTTCTCTTGATGATCTTCGGCGGGACTGGGATGGATGAACTATTTTGGTTCTGCTTGACTTCATGACAGCATTCAATAACACTGACCATTATAACTTCCTGGTTCAGGTAATCAGGTTGGGATGGGGGGGCACTATTCTTCTGTAGTTCTCTTCTTACCTGAATAGCCAGTTCTACTAATCAGTGGTGGTGGGTGAGGAGAGATCAAACTCTTGGGTACTCTTAAGGGATGCCAAAGGGCTCAGTCCTCTCTCCATTACTGATTAACACAGTGCTTCCCCAAACTTTTTTCTTCATTACCCAAAACTCAATAAGTTTTTGTTTTTTCAAAACAAAATGACAGCCAGTTTGGTCTAGTGGTTAAGGCACCAGGCTAGAAAGCAGGAGATTGTGAGTT